GATCTCTTCTGGTGCTGGTTTTCCTGGTCCTGTGCTGGTTTTCCTGGTCCCATGTCTGTTCTCCATGGAGCATCCCAGCAGAGGGCAGCAAGAGATGCCCCAGGCACCCATTGCTCTCCCATGGGTGCTGTCCCAGAGCATCCATGCTTGGTAATGGGGGCAGGCTGGCCCCTGTCCCCTTCTGGTCTCCCACCTTGGAGCACCTGCAAATAACTTACACCTCTTTGAAGCAGAGGTGTACAGAGGAATACAGAGGTGTATTTGGGCTGTAGGACCTTGTTGAGGTGGGAGCCAAGACACCATGCAGAACTATTCTAGTCCTCCCTGGTCTCTTGACATCTCTTGCCCTTATTCTCTTAAATTTTTGAGGGCAACACTCATCTTTTCCTCTATTTCCATGTATTATGGTGGTGCGTCACCCCTGGTCTGCCCACACACGCAGCAGAGTCTTGGTGGATCAAGCAGAGCGCTGGTGGCTTCACACTTGTGGCAACTTGTCCCAGTGGTGTCCATTCCTAGTGGGTGCCAAAGCCTGATTCAATGTGCATTCAACCCCAAATCTTGCATGATACAAGCCAGTGCATGAAAAAGAAATCATGGCAGCTGCTCTTAGAATCACAAAATTGCTTGGTTAGAAAAGATCTTTAAGATCAGTGTCCAACCATAACCTGGCCACCACTAAACCAAGTCCCTCAGCACCTTATCTCCCCATCTTTTAAATCCCCCCTGGGATGGTGACTTCCCTGGGCAGCCCCTTCCAGTGCCTGATAACCTTTTTGGGGAAGACATTTTCCTTCAGATCCAATCTAACCCTCCCCTGGCACAACTGGAGGCCATTGTGGCAACTGATGGCACACAAGACGATCTGCTCCATCTTCAGGCTTCATTTCCTGGCTGGGATGATGGTTTCCAACAACAGGAAGGATGGCTGGGAGCCCTCGATTGCCTTGTGAGCTGTTTCCTGGCTTCTAATGAATTGGTACCACTGCCACGATGGGCTGGGCAGAGGCTGAGGAGGAGGAGGAGGACTTGGTACTTGCACATGAGAGGAGGCGAGTGCTGGTGAGGTCTGTGCTGTGACCAGCATCAATGCCTGTGCCGGCCTCTGCTGTGTCTCTGCTGGAGAGGAGGAGACTGAGGGGTGTCTCATTAATGCTTAGAAATATCTCAAAGTTGAGGGTCAGGAGGATGGGACCAGACTTGGTCGTGCTCAGCAACAGGACAAGGGGCAATGGGCACAAACTGTGACATGGAAGGCTCAACCTAAACGTGAGGAAGAGCTTCTTTACTGTGGGGTACCAGAGCATGGCCCAGGCTGTGGAGAGGTTCTATATTATTAGATACAGAGGGGGCTGCCATAGCCCTCTGCAGGCTTTTTCCATCTTCCCTGTTCTTTGCCTCGGTTTCTTTTCCATCTCTCATCCCGTTTTCACCAAGCCAGAACCAAGCTCTGCTTTGCTCTCCAGGTGAAACCAACCTCACACTTTTCATGCAAAGTCAGAAACCACGGCTTTAAAGCTGCAAAGCACTCGGTGTTGCAAAATACTCCAAGCTGGAAGCAGGGATATGCTCCCAAATTGTGCAGCGTTATCCCTTCTTGCTCCAGGGCAGAGCAATGGAGAGGGACTGGGCTGACCCTTTGCAAAGGAATGAAGCAACTAATTGAAAAAAAATCTTCATTTAATTAATATTTTGCCACTGGGCTTTGCCTTCTCTTCAAGCACCCAGCTCCTTCCATGTCTTTGTGATGGCCCAGCAAGCTTGGGCTTCAGGGACTTTAAATGATATAAATGCAGACCTGCAAGAAAGTCCTTTGTGTCGAAAGAGATAGGGTTTCTGAATTGTTACAACTTGTGGAAATAGTTGAGGGTTTCCTCCCTACCAGAAAAAAAAAAAAGGAATTTTTAAAGCCATGCAGTAATTAGCTGCTAATGGAAAGGGTACTCAAAAATGAGAAATAGTCTGCGAAATCCTCTTAGTGCAAAGAAATCGCTGGTAGGCATGGTTAGGAAATGACTGCATCCATTATCCCCCTTCTGAATGATGACAAATACTACAGGAATGGTGCGCTGAGGTGCTTCACCTGGCAATGTACCCCTAAAATAGGGGAAAAAATATAGCTGATAACACCAATATAGCTCCCTTTTGTAACCAAAGTGGGGCTGGCTCTGTGTGGCCATAAGGAAAGGAGGGTGGATGGGGTGGTTGTGTGCTGAGATGCTGCTGCCAGAAGGGGAACTCCAGTTTTGGGGGAGAATTCGGGAAAATGAGCGTGGCGTAGCCGTGACTGCCTTATTGTGCGCTGCAGGATTTGCAGGGGTGGTATTTGCCCTTGTGCATGCTGAAATCAAGGTATTTTTCTGCGTGAATGGCTGTCTCTGCTGAGGGAGTGTTGAAAGGCGAATGATCCCATGAAAAATGGGGGCTGAAGAAGTTGAAATGTTTACAGTAAATTCTCTATTTAAGTGCTGCTGTTCCCATATCTGGGCAGGTGAGGACAGGCAGGACCCCAGGGTTCCCCAGCTCTGCTGTGGCAATGGCCAGGCCATGGCACTTGCTGGGTGCCAAGGTTTGATCTGGATTAAATCTGAATCTGCCTGGATTAAATCTAAACCTGCCTGGATTAGATGTGCCTTGGAGCTGGGCAGGGGAGGCACGGAAGGCTCAGGCCAAGGAGCAGGACCTCTGCACCGCATCAGGATGCTGCTGGCTCTGCCACTGCCTCTGTACTGGGGAAGGGGGTTCACGGCTGGTGCCCCCCCAGCCCCTCCTGCCCCTGTTTTTGGCCAGGCGTTGGATGTTTTTTGTGCTGACGCAGAGCTGCTGCTGCAGGATCCTCTGATTCATCCCAGCCGAGGGCTCACACCCAGGCTGGGTTTCTTCTCCCAGTTGTTGATCCATACTGGTGGTGCTGGTGTGGGCTGGGCCCCTCCATGGGGGCGCTTGTGGTGGCCCCCTATTCCCACTACGGGATGAGGTGTGCGGTTTGCTGGGATTCCCAGATACCTTCTCCAGTGCTGGGGAGAATGGGGTTTAGAGCAGCAAAGTGTGGGGGGGATGCCCAGAATTCCGTGCTCCAGGGTGGGGGGTCTGAATGCATCCTTTGAGTGCATCTCTGGAGTGTGGGGTGCAGTTTTTGGGGATACCGGCGAGCCCCAGCCCTGTGTTTCACTCCAACAGGGGCATCTCTGGGATCTGGGGGTGCTTTGATGGTTCCTTGGAGCCAGAGTCTGTAGAGCATCTCCCATGCCACACGTGAGCACTGCCCTTTCCTGATGAGAGAGAGGCTTAATAGCCCTTTCCCTCATAAAAGGGGAAACTGAGGCACAGAAGGATGGTGTATCTCATCACATCCCTGAGGAGGAGTGAGGTAGTATTTTTTAGCTAGCTCTGCCACTGACCTGCATGACCCAAACCAAGGGCTTTTCCACCTACCTGTCCTCCCTGGTATCATTACACGAAGGTGGCATCACCCGTCTGATTGGGATCAAGCTTTATTTGGGATTGAGGAGCTCCCAGATCAGCGCTTCCCACCTCCTCAGGTGTCCGTGCTCAGTGGGAGCCTCATCTTTGCAGCAAGAAGAGGGGCTGGATTTAGGGAGGGACATCTGGGACAGTGTCAGCACACGGTGGCCCCATGCTGGGAGCGAGGTGCTCTGGCAGAGGATGGCGGCAGAACTGGAAGAACAGGGCTACAGCAGGAGGTCAGGGTGAAGGTGTGGGTTTGGCACCCGGCGAGGGGGCTGGGGAGCGTTACAGGTCAGTTTTTGAGGGCACCCACGGAGCCCTGGGAGAACTGGTATGGCAGAAAGCTGCGACTGAGTCAAACTGGCAGAGTGTGCGAAGGAGGATCGCTGCCGGCTCCTCCCAGCTTGTGCCTTCGGATGTGGCCTTCAAACGGCCCTGGATGTGGCATCTGCCATGGGGCACCTCCTGCTCTCACCCTGTTCCAACACCAGTGCCCGTTTCTCCTTTTCAAGATTAATGACTTTATCAGTAATCATTATTTTATAATTTATAATTATTGTTTATCATTAATGACTTAAAAACTCTTCATTATGAGGGTGGTGAGGCCCTGGCCCAGGTTGCCCAGAGAAGCTGTGGATGTTCCCTCCCTGGCAGTGCCCAAGGCCAGGTTGGATGGGGGCTGGAGCAGCCTGGGCTGGTGGGAGGTTGGAATGGGGGAGCTTTAAGGTCCCTTCCATGATTCTACGATCATCTCCCAAAACACCTCGCCATGGTGCCAACTGCCATAGGATTTGGGGTTCAAGCACTTGCTTGTACCATGGCTCTTTGGGATGGCTTTGCATCCAGCTTAACCCTTTTTTTTTTTTTTGCTCCTAATGAGACTTGTGCCCATGCCTTTTTCTAAAATTTCCTTTATTCACAATAAATAATGCACTATATTACAAAGATCTCAACACAAAATCCAAAAAATCATGTTCCTTCTGTAGCCACGAATAAATACGACTCACCAGCACCAGCGAATGCGTGAAAGAGCATCTATGAGCAGCATGGGCCCTGTGGCAGGGAGAAAGCAGGGGATTTTGCTGCACGCACCTGCCCCAAATTCTTCTGTGCTGGTACCTCCACGGTGTTTCCATCCCCTGGCCCATCAGACGCAGGGGTGAAATCTTGCGTGGCCAGAATCCGCAGGCTCGGGCCTCTCTGACTGTGCACAACTCACACCCCAGAGGGCAGGGATGCGGCCGCATGGGTTTAAAACCCCAGCCGAGAGGTTGCCCCGGGCTGAGACCCCTTTTCTGGGCTTAGCTGGCTGCAGGTAAGCTAGGAGAGGCTCTAGCGCTCACGTAGAGGGGTTATTTACACAGACACTGCAATACACCTTTCTTCCTTAGTCACAGATGGTCTTGGAGTTGCAAGACTTTTGCTTAAGAGTCTACTGTAGCTGGATGTGTTCATCGCCTGGCTTTGGTGCACACATGAGCCCATGTGTGGGGCTTCCTCCCCTCCTTCTGCTTGGCTTTTTCCAGCTTTTCCTATGGCGGGGTCAGCTCCATGGACTTCTTCCTCTCCTCTCTCTGCTCTTCCCATTCCTCCTCTGACTCGTAGGTGCCCTTGACGATGGCGACCCGATCCGATATGTTCATGCAGTACGGGACAAGGATGTAGAAGTAGAGCACAGCGGCCAAGGAAGCCCCGAGGATGGGTCCAACCCAGAAGACCTAGAAAGCAAGAAGGGAGAGGGTGAGAGCAGGCTTTGGAGGCTGCTTCAGCAGGTCCAGTCATCACATCAGCATCCCTCGCTGCACATCTCCATGGAGAGGTGCAAATACCCCTTCCAGTTGACTTTTTGGGCTGCAATCCCCTCAACCTTTGCTTGCTGAAGGCATCAAGCCCTTTATGAAAGCAAAGATGTGGTGTGCTGGCAAGGAGACACCATGCCTGCTCTGCAAGGCCCAAACTGGGCTTCTCTGTGGGCTTTATTGACCTCGGATGATGTCCTAGCACAGTCTGCTCCATTACGCGGGGGGTTTAGGTTTGTCCTCTTGTGTGCCGTGGCGATAACATTCCCCCTTCATCATGGGGGACAACCTTCCTCGTTCTCCGTCCCTCTTTCATCCTTTCAGGCCTGGGATGGACTCCGAAAGGCCCAGCCCTGCAGTGCCCATGGCAATTTCTGCTCTCTGCCCTCGTTGCCTGCATCTGGCCCTGGTGGCCTCTCAGCTGGCCCATCCCGGCACTCTGCCGATGCTCACCCAATGTGCTGGGCTGAACCTCCTCACGATGACCGCGGGCCCGAAGGACCGGGCTGGATTCATAGAGCAGCCGGTGAAGTAGATCTGTCAGTGCAGAAAGGAGACCAGGTTAAGAAGCATCATGTTGCTTAGCAGATACAAGCAACTTTTCAGAAGCAGGGACTGAAGTAGCCTCCCCATAGCTCTTTCTCTTGCAGAGAGGTGAGGATCCCCCCATCATGGAGAAGAAATGCCCATATGTCCCTTGTTGGTTCTCTCAATGCACCTCCATCTGGGACCAACTGCACAAGAGTATTTTGGGGACCCCTGTCCTCCTGCTTGGACACTCACCCCCACCAAGTGGCCTACAGCAACAGAGAGGCCGATGGACAGCGCTGGGGACCCCACGTTGCCGTTCCTCCGGCTGTCCGTGGACGCGAAGATGCACGCAGCCAGCTGGAAGGTGAGGATGATCTCCACCACGAGGGCCTGGCCTGCACTCGTGTTGTTGTTGAGCTGTGAACAGTCAAGAGTGACAATAATTAACCATCCATGGGGCTTGGCATCATTGGGAGGGCTCTGAGGGGCTATGCTGGTGGATTTGGGTTGACCAAGCCACGTGTGAGAAGTGCCCCCAGGTCCCATGCCCAGAGCTGGGGCACAAGGTGGCATGCTGATCACATCCTGGATTCACTGCTCTATTCCTTGAAAGGGAAGTAATTATCTTTCTTTCTGTTTAATGCTTCAAAATCTGTCTCTCCCCCACACTCCCCTGCCCCTTCTTGGTGCTCTCTGTGTCTCTCCATTTGCTTGTCTCTGCAACACTCGGCGCTGTGCCACCAAACCCAAATTAGTGTTAATTTGTCCCTTTTTTTCCTGCATATCTTTACCCCTTGCTCATTGCAAGCTGTCGTATCCTGACCCTTTTCTCCCCTCCACTTTGTGGAGCACCTCTCCAAGAAGCTGGGGAGCAGCCAGCAGCCACCACAGAGGGGCATGGGATGAAGGTTGGGGTGCGATCATGGGGGTAAGAGAGGCTGCTGTTGTCCCAGTGCCTCTACGCTAACCACAGGGGACTGCCAGATGGACTGGACCCCGCAGGGTATGGGAAGGACAAAGTGACCCAAACCATTGCATCTTGGTCTTCTAGCTAAAGCTGACTGGTTTGGGACGTGGAGCATGTGGGAATAAGATGCAGTGCAGCACCTCATCCTAGTGATTGAACCCTCTGTGCTGCTCCAAGGGATCCGGACCTGGCTGTGGTTGGAGCGGTAGCTCCACTGCTCCCAATTCAGGTGGTTTCCCAGCACTGCCTCAGGGGTTGAGACGTGCTCCTCATCTCCGCTTATCTCAGAGGATCCCATCATCTCCCCTCCTCCTCCAAGAGCCCCTTTGCTCCTTGCAGCCTCTCTGCATCCTCCTGTGCATTGCTCCTTCCTTCAGCTTTTAACCACCTCTCTCCATCCACCTCCATTCCCTAGGCACCCCAGCACACTGATTACAGTGGGCTTCTGCCCCCTTTGCCCATACTGGTTTAACTGGGCTCTGCTCCCTGCCCTCCCCCTCTCCATCGGGGCACAGCTCCTATCCCAGCACTAATCTCCAGGTGGAGAAGCTGCAGTCAGGAACGTCTCAATGGTGCGGGTGACTCACTCAGGCCCTCAGAATAAAAGCAGCGCTTATTAAAGGAGGGGAAATAACCATGCCACTCATTACCCTGCACAATAAAGCTGTCATGTCAACGCTCTGCTGGCTATGCCACTGCTTGCTCCTACCCCATCCCTCTGTGCCTGCAGGACAACGTGTCAAGACCAACCATCCTTATGGATTTGGCTCTCTGAGTTGGCACTGGCGCCAGCTCCTTGCTCACAAGGAAAGGGAAGCCCGCACATCAGCGTGAACCATCTCCAGGTAGGGAGACTTACCGCATTGATGGCCAGGTTGCCACGGGTATTGGCCGGTGTCACGCCGTAGAGGATGCCAGCCCCGGCAATAGCCCCAGCCAGTTGGGCAATCACGTAGAAGAGCATCCGGAGGAAGGAGATCTGGTTCCCAACAAAGAAGGCGATGGTCACGGCCGGGTTCATGTGGCCACCGCTGATGTGCCCAAACGCCTGCACCATGGTGCCAATGGCCAGGCCAAACGCCAGCGCGATCTGAAGGATGCTGGGGAGGGCAGACGGCCACTTCAGTGCTGAGCCAAGCCCGATGAAGACAAAGATGAGCGTGGCGATGAATTCAGCAAAGAGGGATCGAGCGAAGCCCAGGGTTAATATTTCCTTCTTCATGGTGGGAGCGGGTGGAGGGCGGCTAGGAGGGAAGAGAGTTTAGGTTCCCTCCGTCTCGGGCTCTTCTGTCTGCACCCAGTTGTGGGGCCATACCTATCTATATATGCAAGAGCAGCAGGGAGCTGTGTTACGAGGCGGTGGGTGGAGCCAGGGAATTAGCCAGTCCTCCCAAATTATCATGTGAAACTGGAAAAGTTTCCACCTGAAAATAACTTCAGAGCCTCTTGGTGAACCAGTGACTCAGATATTGGTGGCATTTCTTTCTCCTTCCCTTTGCAAACAAAGAGCCCCTATAGGGTGTCTCTGTAGTCGTTAGATAATGCAGTTGCATAACGATGCTGTTCTCTCTCCTCTGCTTTTCCCTTTTACTACCTCTCGCCAGGTGCTGGGTGTTTCATTAGCAGAGGTGTAGTTAATATTCCCTTCCTCCAAGTGGGCTGCATTTTCGTTTGAGTAGTCTTGTTGGCGTGGAGCTGGAGGAGCTCTCCCAGGGCAGGGCTCCTTGTGCAGTCAATTTACACGGGATGTCAGAATGTAAAGTGAAGTTAAGCACCTGGAGCTGCTCCCAGGCTGTCAAGACAGCTCAACCCCAGGAAACAAGTGGCATGCAACCATCCTGGCAGGGTTTGGGGGATGCTTTGCCTTTGCCAGGGAGCCATAGACAAGCTGAGGCTTCCCCAAGATGCTTGGATGGAGGCTGAACGCGATGGTGTAGCTCGGAAAAAGAGGGCTGATGGCTGCAGAGCCTGGCTCTGGACCCCTCTGCTGCCTTTCTGCTTTGCTGCTCCTTGCAGAGCGCTGGGTGTGGGTTTCGGGGGGTGTTTTCTGCCTGTGGCCAGGAAGGGTGTATCCTACCCTTGTCATCTCGGGCCTTTTTCTTTTCTTTTTGCCTTTCAAGCTATTGCTCAACAAGGTCAGTGATTTTGCTCTTGGGAATGGCAGCATAAAGCCACAGACTCTGCATGGACGCGGGCCGTGTTTGCCATGTTTGCTTGTCTCCTCTCATGTTCCCGTGACGCTGCCCTCCATTCAAAATCTGTCCGGCTGCAAATCCTGGCAGGGAGCGGAGCAGGGAGGCTCTCAGCCCTGTGCAACACGGAGCTGTTGGGGACTGAGCTTTTGGGGTGGAAAAAAGCTCCAGTGACACTTAACAGTGAATTCTTGATTCTCTTGTAGTCTTTGCAGCCTCGTGCCAGGATTAATTATTTTTAAAATTGGGTTTGGGTGCCAGATCTGCTCTCCTTACTTGGTTGATTGCATCTTGCCTTTCTCAAGTGGTGCCATCTCTCCATGCAGCAGCGAGCCCGGGCTGGGGTTATCCACGGCTGCCACGTGCCTCTGCAGAAGTGGTTGTGCTGCCACATGTGGTGAACACAGCTTTACATGCAGTAGACCAGTAAAACCATTTCAATCCCTCTTTAAGTTGAAAAAGCACTAAAAAGCTGCATTCGCTGCTGCCTTCTGCTGGGTGCAGCCAGACCTGCACGCATCCTGTGGGGTCCAAAGCCAGGAAGGATTCCTCTTTGGAGCAAGAAGAGGGGATTTCTTACTCCACAGACAAAATAAAGGTGCCTTTCTCCTCCAGCTGTACCCGAAGTCCTGAGCTTGGCAAACAGACCCGGGGAGTCTCGAGGGGCTGAGGATCCATTACAGCCTTCACTCCTGATAATGTTTTTCTCCCGGTTCTGCTGATCCTGGGGACGATTGCAGAGTTGAAGACCAGATCTGTTATCCTAGAAACACCGGGTCCGTTGGCGTGTTTTGGTGAAAGTTTTGCAAGCTGGTATTTCAAGACATCCCGGGCCAGATTCCAGCTGGAATAATTGCTTGCCACTTCCCTTCAGCCCTGCCTGTGGCTCCAGCTGAATAAAACGCGTCTTGTTCCCATCCTCCAAACTCTTTCGTAACGCGCCCAGCACAAATCTCCCTTGGACGTGACCACGTTTTGCTGGAAGCTCCTCTGCTGCACGCTTCGCTTTAGCTAAAAAGCAACATTGAGCCAAAAGATGCTTTCCCAGGTTCCAAACTGTGGATAATCTCCTAGCAAAATCCCAGAGATATCATCAAATAAGGCAAAAAATGACAGGGAAAACTTCTGGAGAGAAACAAGATGTTTCTCTATCGACATGCCATGCAAAAGGTATCTTCCCAAGCCTGTTTTCTGGACTTTCCTTGCTGCTTGGCTTCTCTGATGTCTGCCCATGTTGGGAAGGCTCCTCTTCCTCTCCTCGTCTGCCTGCCCTGCAAGGAGCCTGTGTGAACTGAACGTGCCTTTGATGTCTCAAACGTAATTGAATTGGGCAAGGTGTTGAGGAGGCATTGCACAGGTCCCTGCTGACAGATGGACACCTACGTGGTGGGGTCACGCACGCCTCGTTTCACCCCTAGGCTTGTGGAGGAAAGGAGATGAGGAGGCTTTTTGCAAGGAGGACAGGTTTAGCCATCTCCTCCTCCTCCTCGCTGGCATGGGCAGGCAAACAACCCAACCAAAAAAGTGATAATCACCCAAAATCTACCACTCAGTCATAGGGCCACACGGCTTGGGTGTGATATGAAGGATGGGGACTGGAGCCCACCGTGGGGTTGGGGTCCGAGATGCTCGGGTAGGAGGAAGGCAAATGGTGCCTCATCCCTGCCCAGGGCCCTCCTGAGGCTCTGCCTCACCCACGGAGGCGTGTGTGTCATTAACCCACTACGTGTGTCGGTCCCTGTCATCCCCACTTTGCTGAGGCCATTTTCCGAGCCCGCACGGGGCTGCTGTTAATTTGCCATTTCCGCGGCAGCCCAGATCTCTGCTGTGTTCAACTCCACGTTGAACCTCAAAGCCTGGCAGATGGCATTGCAGGCAGCCAGATCCAGATTATAAACGCTGCTGAGGCTCAGACCAGCCTGGTTTTTGGTTTTTCCCCTCCTCACCTGACTCTGTGTTTTGACCGAGGACCTTAAAACTGGCACAATAATACAAGCAGGAATAATAATAGTAACAGGAGACAACTACTTCTGCTCGAATCTGTGATTAGTTGGGATTAGATGGCCAGAGGAGGAAGTTTGCTTTCATTTGTTTTTATGAGAAAGGGGTTTTTCTTGCTGGTTCAGCTTCAGGAGTTTGCAGCAAGGCAAAAGGGAGAAAACAAATTATATGTGCCGGGAATTAAAAGCAGAGCAAGAAGCAGCAAACTTTCCCCTCCTCATCCTCAGTTCCTGGGGCTGCCTCTTGCCACGGTGGCAGGGAAAGCGGTGGGATTAGCGCAAGAAGAGACGTAACTGAAAAGGAAAGTCACTAAATAGGAAATCAGTTCTATTTAGCTCAAAACAGGACAGCCTCGCCGCTTTCTAGCGCAAGGTGGTGTCGCTGTATGGGTATTTCAGATGGGGCTTTCAAGGATTTCTCTTATCTAACCCACCATCTGCTTGTGCTCTCTTTAAAGGTGAGGGATTACTCTGCTGGCCCGAGGTGTTTCCACCTTCTCCTGCCCTGGAGCAATGCAGCTTTTGCTTCCCCAAGAAACCTGACCCAGCTTTGGAGCAAAACGAGCCTGAGTTTGGCTTTGGGGTTGTCCCCATGTCCCTTGCTGCTGTCCCACTGCTTAAGAAGTGGGTCTTGGTGCTACCATCCAGCCCTTGGTGGCCGCTGTGCAAAGCTGGGTGGTCACAGTGACCTTGTAACCCATGAGCCCGTGAGCAGGGATGATGCTGTTTAGATGCTGAATGGTGTTGATGCTTAATAACAGCATTGCTCTGTGCTTGGCTTAGAAATCACTTGATGAGCTCTACGGCGTCCAAGTGGATGCAAATACTTTGGGGCTTGCCTGCAATGGAAATCCCGACATCCTTTATAATTAATTTGCATCAAAATCATCATTAAATCATCACATGGTGATAATAATGTGTGTTGTGGAAAGCAAAGGGCTGGTTAGATAAACGACCCATATGAAAAGCTGGGCTTGAAACCCTGGCGTCCTGATTTTCAGGTCTAGCCCTTTCCAGCAAAGCCACCTGCATCAGTGACATTAGTCTGGACAAATACTTTGAATTCTTATGGGCCAGCAGCCATTTATTGGTGTCCTCAGGATTCAGACAGACCTGTGTTTGGGGCACTGGTAATTTTCCTCTTGAAATGCATTTGCCCTGGAAATGTTGTCTTTGCCCTTGCGGTCTCCTTTCAAGACTGCAAGAAGTAAATGATGTGGGGAGGGAGCTGCTGTCAGGAAAGCGATCTCCCCTCTTCGTCTTTAGCGTGGGGCAGGGATGGGAGGGCATGGGGCTGCATGGAGGCAGTCAAAAAAGCACGACCAGGCTCCAAAGCACCTATGAATGCCATAAATAATGTAACAGTCTGGAATCTGGAAACTCTTAAAACTCAAATTCTCGCATAATCACCTGGCTCCAAGAGCCCACGACCGTGGAGAGCAAATTATTGGTGACGATACGTGGACGTTGGTGAAGCGGAAAATCGTTTTTTTCCACTCCGTTTTGCCTGTGAGACCCAGAGGAAATGGCTCAAGTAATTTCTCAACCTAAAAAGTTAGATTGTACATACTGTTTTAAAGAGATTTATGGTGGTTGCATCCCCTGCTGTGTCAGAGCTTAAGGCTTTTGCACTCAATGGTCCTTAGAGAAATGAGTGCTTTTTCTTTAGGTTGGTGTCCCTGGAAAACCAGGCTGGAAATCAAAGCAGAGCCACTGGTCTTGCACCCAGAGCCTTCCGAAATGGGACTTGCTGCAAGCCTTGAAGATATGGGAACCACCTGGGATATGGCTTCCCCCATGGAGCACCAGCCACCTCCTGAGCAGGTCTGTGGTCCTCTCCTACCTCCTCCTCTTGCTCTCCTGGATGGATTTAGCCTCCTGGCCCCTCCTCGAGGAAAACACGCTTGGGCAATATTTCTATATGTATAAATAGATCCATAAAAATTAATGACGTGCCTGCACCCTGGGTAGGTCACACCATTGCAAGGAGGGTGCCAGATGGGAGCTGAGAGCTCACACAGCCCTGAAGATTCGGATGTGGGGGATTTCTACAGGGTCAGGCCAAGAAATTCGGAGCAGAAAAAGCTCTGGTCTGAGGTTTGGAGCTGGGC